CCTACATTCTGATTGGCTAAAAGAAACATATATTTGCTTATGTGTACTGCAGAAAAAAAATACGCATCCCGCTACTATAATTCTGTCTGTGAAGTGAAATATGTCATTGATAGATAATGATTTTTTTTTGGGTTGTAGAAGCACCTAGTCCAGCACCCATAACCGCAGCCTGCAATTCAAATCTAGGAACAGTCAGTTTCTTGATCGGAGCTACTCTAGACCTGGCGGCTACGAATCGTGTGTCGAATGTTCCGCCTTTCATTTTCCATCTTAAGTAGGCGCAAGTACCGTAAGCCTTTTCTGATGCATCGCAGAAGATAATTAAGTCAACTACTTCAGAGGCATTCACTGGGGTTAAGCATCTTGGTAATGACACAACATTGATCTGTTGGAGTTCTTTGAGAATCAGCATCCATTTCTGTTGTATATTTTCAGGCAGATTCTCATCCCATGTAAGACCTTCCCACAGCTCTTGCATCTTGATTTTCAACTTCACAAATCCAATTGGGTCGAACAGTTGCACTATTATCCCTAACGCTTTTCTCTTAGTTAATCCCTTATTCAATATCTTTTTTAAATCTAGCTAGCTGTTGACAGTAAGTCGGTCGGATTCACTGTTGCAAGTTACACCAAGTACATTTTGCAGTTTTTCATCATCCTTCTTAGGGCCTGTATCGTCTTTCCTTAATGGCTTGTTAAACACCCACTCTTTAATCGTGAACCCCCACAGCTCAATACTGTATCTAGATTTTCCGTGAGTGACTTGGCTTCTTCAATGGTCGCTACTGAAGTACATACGTCATCCATATAAGTATCTTGTAACAAAACTTGTGCTGCTTTAGGATACATTTCTTTGCCATGTTTCGCAGTAAGTCTAAAGTAAGTCACAAAGTATACACACTGTGAACACACAGTGTATCTGCTGTCTGCGCCATCGCTGCAGCCGGTTTGTCTCCAAATGTGATGACTTTCATGATGTATGTATCTGGTTCTTGATTATACTTCAGATCTCTCCAATGATAGCGATGTACATGCTGATCTATCGTAGGAATAAGAATTAAGTTGTACATCTTCGATATGTCACCGCATATCGCCACTTCTTTTTCTCGAAATCTAAATAAAACGCCATGCAGATTGTACAAAAGGTCCGGTCCCTTTAGCCAGTAATCGTATATTGCCTCTCCGTTGCATTTGTTGGCGGAGTTAAAAACGATCCGTACAGGTGTGCAACATGATGAGGAAGCCCTTTATAAAATACCACACACTGAACACAGTGTGAAAAACTATGTGTTCACATAGTGTACACATACTGGACCACAGTGTGTGCACTGTGTGTTCACAGTGTGTATACTTTGTGTTTACAGTGTGTACACTGTGTGAATAACTTACTGACTATATAAAATTTGTGAGGTTTTCACACTGTACACTGTGTGAAACACCGTGTTTACACACAGTCACCACACAATAAACACAATGTCGCCATAGTGTAGCCACACAATTAAGACACTGTCCGCACACAGTAAACACAGTGTTTCCATAGTGACACCAAACATAAACATAGTGTCACCACACAATAATCACATTGTTCCCACACAGTAAACACACTGTCCCCATAGTGTAGCCACACAATTAACACACTGTCCCCACACAGTGAACATAGTGTTTCCATAGTGTCACCACACAATAAACACAGTGTGTTTACAGTGTGTTCACTCTGTGGAATATGTGAAATTGGTGAGGTTTTCTCAGTGTGAAACACATTAAACACATTGTTGTCACAAATTGCTAACATTCAGTAAACACAGTGTTAACACACTGTTCACACACTGTTCTCATAGTGTACCACACAATAAACAAATTATATCCATATTGTCACTAAACACATTGTCCCTATAGAGTAAACATAGTGTCACCCCACAATAAACACAGTGTGTTTACTCTGTTGACTATGTGAAATTGGTGAGGTTTTCACAGTAAACACATTGTTGTCATATCTTGCCAACATACAGTAAACACAGTGTTAACACATAATTGACAATGTGTTATTGGTGAAGTTTACACAAAACTGTTTGTTCTACAACGATTCAGTGTCATCACGCAGTAAAACCATCACATGCACAATCTCAAAGTTCTCACCTTCATCCTGCAAGGTACAACAAAAATAAAATATTAACAGTTTTAAAATTGATAAAATAAACATTTATTAAACTAACTTTTAAGTACATATAAGCACTATCATAAGATTATTGCATAATAGTCAGACGAATTACGTATGTGTTATAACATTAGTCAAATGTATACAGTAACTGTTTCACACTAAAAGTATTGTTTTGCATAAAATTAGTCAAGGATTTTAATAGTTGTTAAGTTAATGTAGCAATGAGTTTACAATTTTGTTAATTGTTTTTATTGCATGTAGACAAACAGTTACTTAGATGGTAAAGCATGCTACAGCTCATCTGTAGGATATGAAATAAACTTAAACAAAATAAATTACAACACTTGCTAAGTTATACCTTTAGCAAAGATAATGACAATTACAATTTAAAATTAAAAAATTACTGCACATTAAGTGCCTGTTGTTAAACATTATCTACTGTATCCATTCCCTTTGACATGGAGCGCCTTGTATCTTTACATATTTTAGTCATCTTGGTTTTTACAGCTGCTGACTGGATATCTGGGTATTCTGAAATTATATAAAAAAATATTGTCACAAAACTTCGGAAATATGAAAAGTAGGCCTATCTATCTAAATGAGAATTATATTGTTCTTATAAATTTCTAGGTTCCAGTAGAACTGTATATGCAATAATAATTTTGAAATTGACATGTTCGAAAGACAATGAGATTTATAAATTGTGAACTTTAATTGCTAAACCCGGAGTACACCATGAGACTCATGTCATCATGACAACACAAATTTGAGCAGTGACATGTAATAGCAAGTATCACGCAACATAATGCTGCAATAACAGTGGCCTGCTAGCTTCATTATTTTAATGGTGTTAATGTGGGACTGTAGGTTTTATTATTACTGACAATACTGTATTCTAATGTTTAATGTGTAGATATGAAACATTAATTTACTGTAGTTGAATCGTGGAGCAATGAGGTATACATAAACTTTTTAACGGTCTTGGGGCAAATGTCAAATTTTGTTTACAACTGTTGAATAGTACATTGCTTGTATTTTTTGTAATTGGACATGGTAATATCATTCTAAAATCAACGGTCGTAAAGCAGACAAATTACTATAAAGCAATATACTTACTGTAATACATTTAAATTTAAAAAAAAGTAAACAGAATATTAACTTACCAACTATTGCAGATACTGTATTTTTTTTTTTTGTCATTGCAGCACATCCCAGTCTACTTGCATGTTGGCTTTTTTTAAGCTGCATAATAGTCCTTTGAAACTTTGCACTAGAAACATTTAATGTAACTAGTGCAACCTGAAAATAAAGAAAGTTCTTAAATTAGTAAACAAATGTTCTTTATACCTAGTCTTTTAAATACAATGTATTTTGGCAGCCAAAATATCATGTATTTCATACATTTTTAACTTTTTATTTAAATCAAACAGAGTATTTTACAACAAACCCTAATTTGCAAGTAGATTTATTATATTCATAGTTTGTAAACTAAACAAATAAAACTAACAATCAAGAAAATTAATCACACGAAAATCAAGCTGGCCTGATGTTGAGTAATGTCGACCCAGGCCAGACTTTTAACGCTAAAAATGCAATTCATATAGCAAGACATACATAGAATGTACAGTGCTAGCTAATGTTTAGTAGGCATTTATGCTAAATTACTAGGAATATGCTAGTAGTACTGTTTTAGGAAGGCTAATCGAGCCTAAAACAACTTTTTGTTGGTGCAAATAATATATATTTCAATTATTACCAAATGAAGATAACATTTTAGGTTTTGTTTTTATACATTTAGACCTATGTTACATACCAAAAGATTTAATTAAAAATAATTAAAATGAATATATTCAAAGTGTATAAATAATAAGAAAAATGCAATTTCGAATTACCTATATGAATAGAAACGACAACACTTGAATACAGTACGCCATTCAGACATTTTTTCTTGGAGGGTTGTTGTTAACTTTGGGTCTCCATATTCTCCATCTCAATCTTTCTGTTGTCCTCAAACATTATTTTATCTGGAACCATTGAATCGTCCAGGATACTTGTCTCATTTGTCTCCGTCCAGTGGAGTAGAACCCATGCACATTTTCGTTTTGCGAAATTAATTTAACGAATCAAATTTAACACAACGCTTGTTGTAATCGACGATGAAACAATGAATCCCCACTTGAATTTGAAATATGATTTCCCTCTTCCTCACACCATCCTGGTGCAACCAATGATCGGGCCAGACGAGCTGCATGTGACCTGATTTTCCAAAGTCTCCACCATGACCCCTCTGGGGTTTCACAAAGCATAGTGTCAAGACTGTGATCACTATGTGGTGATAATACGATTTTATTGTAGTAATACCAGGGAGATGTACTGAAAAACTATTATTTACATCTTCCTGTTAATATTGTGATAAACTGCGAGGTAACTATAATTTAGGCATATATAATATAAATATTACTAGATACGGAATACGCCATTGGTTTCCTACCACTCGAGTCTTCAATAACCTTGGCCTCCATATCTTCCATTGCATTTAACTTGGCATTGCAATCAAATTTTCCAACGTCTACTCCTGTCTCTTATGCACATCTAGATGTGTATAAGAGACAGTATATATATATATATATATATATATAATATTGAAAGAAGTTAGCCGTTAACAATGTTGAATAAATGTAATATAAATCATCAAAGGTACATATACAGTGTTTAATAAGGATATGTTGGAACATCGTAGGTTACCCTGTAGCTTTTCAACGAATAAAGTCCTAGGAAAAATCATTGTGTAATAAAATGCCTCCGACGGGAGGCTTTATTCGTTGAAAATAGGACTTTATTCGTTGAAAAGCTACAGGGTAGCCTACGATGTTCCATCATGTCCTTATTAAACACTGTATATGCACCTTTGATGATTTATCTATATATTATATATATCATGTTTACCACAGCAATTTTCAGGCTGTAAGTTTGATGAATGTGTTTCACTACATAACACACTGAACCACACTGTGTTCACAGTGTGTCTGTTTAAACACACTGTGATTTCTTCTACTCTTTGTATTCCTTAAAATCACAATGAGTTCACTGTGTGCTTAATGTATAAACACACTGTGATTTCTATTCACACTGTGTATCCCGTAAATTCACAAAGTTTTCACAGTGTGTTCAATGTATGTAATTCAAAAACACAGAGTTAACACAGCGTTCACTGTGTGGACTCTATGTGAACACAGTGTGTACACACTGTGTACACACTGTGGTATTTTCCAAAGGGAGGTAATGTACAGGTCCACTATATCCTTGCAATTCCGCTTTGCTTAAGTTGCGTGCAAAACCTCTCTCTACCATCTCATTCATTTGTTGTCTATAGGCTTCAGCATGCTCTTCATTCTTCGCCAATCTCCTTTCAAGTCCACTTAACATCTTCAAAGCTTGACCTCGATTATTGGTCAGATGCGCTGGACTTTTAGCCCATGGATACGGAATACGCCATTGGTTTCCTACCACTCGAGTCTTCAATAACCTTGGCCTCCATATCTTCCATTGCATTTAACTTGGCATTGCAATCAAATTTTCCAACGTCTACACCCATGGATTCTACCTTCCTGAAGTCATCCAGGTTCACAGGCTTGTTTATCATGACATTCATCACTCTACTCATCATTCCGTCGCCTGCCTTGCCACCGAACACAGCCCAACCCAATGGTGAATTTAGTGCAACTAAGCCCCTTGACTTCTTCGTTTCTGCCGTCATCAGATGAGCATGATCAACACCAATCACAATATCAATAAGACCTCCGCTTCTCTTGAAGGCATTCTGCATCTTGAAGGATCTCTCCAAATCTTCAACATTCACCTTTTCTACCTCATTTATTTTCTCCATCTCGAGAGCTTGAATGCTGTGAATCACGTCACGGTTTTTGCCGCAAAGTTTGAGATCGAATAGCCTTGTGTAAAATGTTTCCTCAGATCCACCAACCTTCGTAATAGATACCGCTACTTCTTTCCCCTTGATTCCTAATTTACTTGCAAATTCTGATCGTACAAAAGGTGCCTTGAGACCCCAAGTCCAGCATAACATTGGCAACGTGGCTCCTGTTCTTCGACACAACTTCAACGTGTAATACGCACAATAACGGTCCGCCTTGGCTCTGCTCACCTACATTATTGCTCCCAACACTCTTTGTTAGAAACTTGACGTAGAAGCTTGTGGTGAAACCGGTTACACAGTTGTTCTCCAACTTTCTCTCCTCATGCCTTCTTTCTAGAACAATTGCTGATCCTATGGTTTCTGCCGGTGATCTGCAAATAAGAAAAGCAAGCATAGTTTTTCTTAGTTAAGTCAAAGCAATCTTCAACTTTCATGTCGGCAAACTTCTGACACTGGTCAGGCCAATGGCAGTCCGTTTTAAAAATCCAGCATTTTTGAAACTTCTTACGAGGTGCACCATGTTCAACATGAGGAGTATTGCCTATCTTCACATTATGTACAGAACTCTTCTTTAGCTTGGTTTGGCTTTCCGCTGTGCTGTTGCTCCCGAAAACGGGGTCATTTATTTCTTTCGCTGATGCTTTAATGAATTTCACAACATTCTCCAATCCTGGTATAACCCCCTTTTCATTTAGTTTATAATTCTCACTCTGCCATCGATTTTGTAGGAACTTTGGTAGCTTCTCCACGATCTGCTTTAAGCTGCTTCGATTGGATAGTTCACTTAAATACCCAAGTTCTTTGAGAGAGCCTCATAACATTTTTCTAGGTCATCAGAAAACTCAATTATCTTCCCTAAATCTATCCTCTGTCGGTTCAATACCTTGCCTATCCAGGCTTGTGCGATGACTGTGGTGTTGCCGAACCTTTCTTTGAGAGTAGCACAGGCGGACTTGTACCCTTCACTCGGATTCTCAAGCACACAGTACTGGATAGCCTGGGTCTACACATCTAGATGTGTATAAGAGACAGACTTGGAACCTTGCTCACCACTAGCTGCTACACAGATTTAGGCCTTTAGGGTAGAATATTGTTAAAAAGGTAGGCCTCCGTAAGTAAGAACTTAAAAATAGGCCAAGCCTCTACTAGTCTAGGCTAGGCCTACTACCTGACTCCAGGCGAGGCCTGAGCCATCCTACTGGAAAGTTAAAGTTTTGTTGTATTTGTATGGTATGCCATCTAGTTTAAGCTTAATTGTTTTTGCCATTGCCAACATTAGTCTTACAAGGGTCTATTTAGGCCCGTTTTATTAGGGAAGACTATTTAAATTTAGTCATGCCTAACCATGGACCAGTCGACGCGAGTGACTCAGTTTCGTGGCTCCAAAAATATGAACATTTGATTGGTTGAAATTGTTTATTTCGGTCCGCCCATTTATCCAAATACGGAATATAAGATTACGTCATTCTTTTGGCATCCTGGTGCCTGAGGTGCCTGATTTCAGTGTTTTACAAGTCGCTTATTCCGTCTATAAATTAACTTTCTCGTTGGTGGCGCTGTCCAGAATGAGAAAAATAATAAAAAATAAGAGACTTGTGGCAAGTCTAAGTACTGGATAGACTGCAACGCTTTTCCAGTACACAGACATTAATGAATTAAGTTTGACATTGTCATCGGTAATGCCAGAAACAGTATTATTGAATGATGAAATGAATGCATGATAATACAGTGGGTCACCCTCATACTGTCTAATTTGGGTCTGTGGTAATATAAGTACCTTACATAACCCAACTAATTTACAATTAACATTAGCATTATCAGTTACAGAGCTATTGCCACTACACTCAATGGTTACAACAGAATAAGTTACATCATCATTAGTGGATTCATTACTATCATTTACCTCTACCTTATCAGTAGTAATCGGTGTATTTACTACATCTACCTCGTCAGTCAACAGTGCTTCAAGCTTTAACATCTCTACCATAAATTCTTCTTGACAATGGTTCATCCAACTTTGTTCTTTCTCATAGTCTTCTTCACTTTCTATCTGCTCTACTAGTGACACTCCTCAATCGACTCAAAGCGCGACTGTGCCTTCTCAAGTCAGCAAGTGTAACATCCAATCATAAAGAAAACAGCAAATTAATTCAATGTTTGAAGATCATTTCATAAACTATGAATCATATATAAATATACATCAAATAGCTGGCTAACATGATACAGTATAATGATGACTCACTGCTTTGACGGGTATATCAACATTGTCAAGTCAGCCAGATTAAATCAGATTAATCAACAGGATAGCAAATCACAGTATGATGAATACATTTCCTGTCTAGATACAGAAATAACATTATTAATTACCACTAAATATTATAGCAACATCATACTTATTAAGAATACTAAGGGTACCATATAAACTGTAAGTGACAATTTCCATTGTAAAATTCTTATATAAACAATGCATCAATAATCAGAAGAAAAGAATCAAGTATTTTATCTGAACATGGGTATGAGCAACATAGAGTGCTAATTAACAGCGAGGTCAAATCAGAGTCAATCAAACGTGACGTCTAAAAGTGATATGAACATTCTTATGCAACACATAGATTATGACGATTCTAAGTTAAGTTTACTTCAATGTTAAGCAGAACAACCATAATGTCTCATACATAAATACACAAGCAATCATATAATAAATGATAATGAATTGTTATCTTATTCGGCATGTCGTTCATATGATGGTTAATACGTAGCTTCTACGATCCAACACATGTTCAAATTAAATCTTGTTATCAGACACAAATATCATCATTAACCAATGAATTAACAATACAGTATAATAAAACAAACTTACATTATCACTACAACGTTAACAAAATTTCGGAATATCATTAAAGCAGAAATTTACGTCTATATTCCTGACAGCTCAACAAGCACGACCACATGCGAGTCTCTCCATCTTAGCTGTATCTTAAAAATATGGTGGCGCTATTCAAACAACTTGGTGGCGCCTTACAAACATGAGATTCTTATTAAATCTCACAATACCAATTTCTGTCAGTGGTGTCACCAGTTCGACACAGCCCCTTAACCTGCCTGGGAATGCCAGTCCTTGAAAAACATCCTCTCCCTTCTAATCACATCATGCAACACCCCTAACCCTTCTTGTCGGGACAAGTCAGGCATCGTGAAAAAAATATAAACCTGAAAAAATATAATGCTAATGTGGTCGTGGTAGGGGTTGTGCTAGGATTTGGCCGACAAGAAGTCCTATATCTCAGATGGTGGTCCGATTACAGCATTCCGGGGTTTCAATGGCTTATTTTATTCCATTTTGGAGTCTATTAATAATGGGAAGCTCCCCTATCCCAACAACCCCGCTGGCACCACCCTGGGTTGTGTAAGTCGTAAGTTACCAAAGCAATCCCAATCCCTGCAAGATTGTAGAAGAAGTTGTAGAACTAAAACCCAAGACTCATGAGTGTTGTTAGGGACAAACTAAAAGAAATGATTCTTATTATAGGCCTAGGTGGCATCACACGACTTGAGATGTATTAACCAAGACGAAATGAGACAACATATACTGCAACTGATTGACGAAAACACGTCATTCTGATAATTCGGGATTGAGCAATAAAGTTTTTACATTGAAAATTCAGAGAATCTCAAGCAGATTTTTGGGAAAATTAATATATCTTGGCACATTTTTGTTGCATTGCGGTGTTCCAAACACAAGCACAGAACAGCGATAATGAAAGATGTAGTTTCACGAATTAAGAGTATGTTTCCTAAACTTACATCTGTATATTTAAGACACAAAAATTCTGGCGAGACGAGGATAGGCCTAAATGTGCAAATTTATGCAAACGAAGTTCATGCCATTAAAGACGGTTTTAAAATAAAACGTGCTTTAGAATCAGATAGACATTAAAAGGTTGTTCCTACCTTCTCAAATGTTGCAACATATGAAGAACTGCAAGTGAGATGGTATAAGCCTTCTTAATAATTTTGAATTTACAACTACAGGAGTTTAAGTATGGCGGGCATATGACATTTGACCTGGTTCACAAAGTGAAAAACAAATTTCAAAGATAACATAGTGTCTTTTGGTGTGCATAGAACCACCAAAAAACAATAAAATTTGTAAAGAAATGATCACTGCGAATGTGTCTGATCAACCTGGTCGCCAACATCTACCAGTTTGTGCAACTTAGAAATGAAGGATACGTTAATTATTTGTTTTTCTGTCCTGAAGATGGATTTAATCCCCTCACTGTGCATTTCACTTGTGTCCTTGGGCAAGGCACTTTATCTGCATTGCTTCTCTCCACCCAGGAGTATAAATTATTGGGTATCTGGTAGGGTTAAATGTCAAAATGTGCTGATGTATCTGCTACAACTTTATTTATGGAATACTCCCCCAGTGATCTTGAGTTCATGTTTCATAGGCTTTTAATCCAATGACCGGGGGTAGTAATGTGAAGCGCTTAGAGGCCATGTTGGCGGTAAATGCTATATAAATCTAACATATATTATTATTATTATTATTATTATTTATAAAGTCCTACATTCTATTATGTACACTAAAAAATCAGATAGTTACAGGAATTTGAATACAGACTTGATAATCAAAACACTGTTGGACAAATCAATCGACTATTATCTGCCATAGAAGAAACATTACATTTACATTCATCAATATATATTTGAAATGGCAAAAAAAGCATAAAAAATTTAACAATAGATCAATGAGCAGATTAGTACAACTGGAGGACTTGTTGGCAGAAGATAAACATTTAGAGAATATGGAAGAAATGAAGATTTAAAACGTTCAGCTCTACAAAGAGGCGGTCAGAAGGCTGATTGTTGTATTCCTAAGCGAGATAGACATGTAATAATGTGATCATAAGACTGAACAAATGGACAAAAAGTGAATAGAGTGAAATATTTAAATCTTGTGTTGTACCATGTATTACCATATTGAGCAAATAGGTGTGGATAATAAGAATATGAAGAGTAATCTGATAGAAGTTTACTGAAAAGATATTCAACACTTATTAAATACGCACTTTCTCATTTAAAGAAAACAAGAAAAAAAAAAAAAAAAAAAAACAGATTTTCAGAAACAACAAAAATAATATGTTCAAAATAAATTCCAAATAGTCAATGTCAGAGGTTAAGAAAGAGATGAGAATAGCTAGGGACGACAAGTGAGTTATCTAAACCATCAGAAAATCTGAGCAAAAGATGTAAAGCTATTTTCTAGAGGCAAGACGCAGTAGTACACTGTAGGCTACTAAACTGTTGACGAGTCAGATAAAGATGTTCTTTAAGCTGCCGAAGAGGAATCACAATAGACTACTTCCACATGCTTGTCCACGAAACAGTTGAACTTTAACATTCAATTGTATATGGCAAAATTAACTTTTCATGGTGAATTCAAGAATTAAATTGAGTCTTCCTAAGTTGAAAATCATAAATCGTCGTTGAAAGCGAATTTATCATGGATTGCTTTTGTCAGAGTTGTGTTTGAATTTGTTTGGTTTTCAGAAAGCTAAATTAAGTTGTTTGTTTACATGCAATGCACTATAATATTGAGTTTAACGTACTTGAAATAAACCCGGCAACACATGTTGTTATAATAGTCATGTATATTATAGTAAGATTATGGTTACATGAATTATATTTTATATTGTAGCCTTTTCCGTAAAGTAAAAAAATGTATATTTACAATATTTTTGAATGAAAAGATATTGATAAACCTTACAACACATTCCTTAGCATGTTGTTAAACTAGTCCAGTAACTATATTTGTTTTGGTTAATGAATTATATTTTATAGCGTTAACTGTTAAGTAAAAAGATGTATAATTACCTTAATTAGTGCATGTTCTCTTTTTTTGGTCTAAAATTCAGTGTTTTTCACTTCTGAAAATGTCTTAAATTGACAAAGACTTTAAAATTTAGATCAATTAATTGATGATTATATAATCTTTTTTTTTTAATTTACACTTCTAAAACAGTGGCACACGAGAACGGTGCGTTCACATAGATTGAACATTAACAAATACATATACACAATAAGAAACAAAACAAGAAAGTAACCGACATAACAAAAGGACATGGTAAAAATAAACCAAAACATATAATAAAATTGAATAAAACAAGTGCATAAAATACTAAAAACATTGTGTAGAAAACGACTTAAAATTAAAATGTTCGGAATATTAAGAATAGTCCGGCAGCTTAGCAGATGGATGTGGACGTTCCGGACAAAAGCACAATTTTTTTTACATGCTCCTTATGGTCATAGCATTCAATTTTTGGTAGGAACCACCTCATCCGAGGTCATTATGGCGGCCATCTTGGATTTAAAAATGGCCGCCTAATAAAACCTATGTTTATCTATATT